TAGACTGAATGTCCCATGGAATGACGTCATACACTCTGAAGATTGTTATAATTCCAGGTTTATTATAGATAATTTTTCTTAGAATGAAGTTGGACTGTAGTTTTTTGTTTTGTTTTGTTTTTGTTTTTTTTCACCACTAGCCTTTTAACAAGTCAACGTTATTTTGAATCTTAAACAAAACTGCTCTTTGTTCCACATTTCTCCATTTCATAGTCAGGAGGGCATACTAGATCTACTTAAGTGTTTTCTATTGGCTTTATGTGTGAACATAACAATTCTGTTTAGCTGACAGATATTCATTTGGGATTACTTTGATTTAGACATTATCGTGAGAAGTTCACATTTTCATACCTCTGACACATCCACATCCACCCAGTTCCTTCCACTAGGTCTTTATGGAAAACACTGCTCTAGCAATGACTGAATGTCCCTGGGGATTAAGATATGCAAACAAACACTCCAGGTTTCTAATAGCTCTTCTGGTTTTTCACTTGGTGCTGTTTATCCTCTTTGCACTTGAAACAATGGGGTGAAACCAGCCAGTTTCACTGTTTAAGGTGTAGCGTGGTGGTACTGTTTTATTCGAGTATCTGACAATGCTGACAATTCAAACAAATATATCCAGGCCCAAATGTTAATACTTGTCTGATTGTTTTTAAGGGGCTGGGGGAATGGATGAGAACCAAATGCTTATCTTGCATGTGTGCTGCTTGGCCTTACAGCTTCTGTAGTTATCTGAATTTCTCCTGACTGCTTTAGAGAAAGAAGTGGGGAAAGGAGAGACAGGAGAGGAGAATTCTAGCGTATGAAAAAGATATAGGAGCTGGTCAGTGTGAGTTTGTAGTTGCTGACCTTTTTCTTTCCTTCTAACAATGAATTAAACTTCTAGTCTAATAATGTTTAACTTGTTAACAACTTTTCTATTTTAAAAGTGTAAGAGATTGACTTTTTTAAAGAACTTGTCAAGATGAGGAAAAACAGAAGTAAATTCTTCAGCTTGCCGGGCTGTGCATTTGCTTTGCTGACAGGTATTACTCAGAGGTTAAGATGGTAAACTTCCTTCTATTTAACTCAGCCAGAGCTGGGTTTTGTGAAAGCACCCTTTTGTATGCCTAACACCTGGAATCTGCAAGTAGTGTACAATCGCTTGTGTAGCAAGAATGGACTGCATCTATTTCTTCAGGGGGGAAACCCCTCTTCATTTCTTTGGGTGAAAGCTGGAACTTCTTTGTTACTAGCTCTGCGTGAAAGTTTTGAGTCATTTGGGGCAGAATTCTTACACTAAAGCAGACATCTGCTAGTTCTGTTGTGCTTAAAGAAAGTATGGAGGATTTGGTGCAGTCTGTAGTATGGAGGTGAGCAACCTTATGAAAGGACCCTTGAGTTTGTCTCCCAGTGCATCCCTGCCCAATGCTGCTCTGTCCAGCTCGCCTGTGTTCGTGCATTAGCGTGGCTTAGCTAAAGCATTTAGACCTCAGATGATTATCAGTATCCGTAACCGTGAGTAATCTTTGCTATCTCTGGAACTTTGTAAACCAGTTTCCCATAGTCTGGCTATAGGTCTTGCAAAGGAACATAGATGAATGTTTATTGGCAAAGCAGAAAGGTTATAGCCCAGGTAAAAACAAAGGGAGAGGAGTCAACAGGATGTCTGTTGTTTGATCTGGTCTGTTTTGGGGACCTTTGCTATTTTTAAGCATTCTTCCTGTGAACCTTTTTGAACTCCCTCTCTGCTGAAAATTCCTGAGAAGGGCATGCAGTTGCAGATGCTAAAAATCCAGGTATTTCCCTGTGTTAATATAGCATACTGTAGGAAAACATTTGCAGCTTTTCAGTTTACGGAAGACTGCTCATCCCTTTTGTGTGGCTAAGTGAAACTGCTATTTTCATGCTGAGAGGAAGTGTGATATAGCTGGTACAGCCAGTGCTCAAGAACTAGGGTTTATTTTAGTCTGTACTGATTCTTGAGGTGCAACTGTGAGCCAGTCTTAATGGAGAAATACCTGTCTTGCAAAGTGGTTCCTGTGTCTGTTGAACAGCTCCACCAGGCTCACCTCTGTGACTGTTGGGTGGGGCTTGGTATTTGGAAGGAGATCTTGCCTTCCTGGATTGTTATCTCTATAAAAGCCTGGTTTTTAAAGCTGCATCTGTGATGTTAACTTGGAAGTATCATGGCAGTTCAGTAGTACTTTATTCTTGTTTAATCATTTCAATAAGCAGGTAATCTGAATTTGCACTATTGAGTTCCAAGCTGAAGGTACAGATGTTGGAAATTCTGAAAGGTGCTCCATACTTCCAACTCTTTGTAAATTCAGCAGGTGTTAGATGTGCAGGAACTTCATGAGCAGGCCATGAGATTAGTTTTTTTAGTCGTCTAAAAGACCACCACCACCGAATGTCCATAACCGTGCCTGGCAGGTTCATGAGCTTACAATGGATAGCAATTATCCTATTACTCTGGAGGTGTCTTATCCTGCATTCAGATCCCATCATGTAGTTTTCTGTGACCTGGGACTTCTCTCATGTACATTTGATTCAGTACAATATTCTTCACTGCTGCTCTGGGAGCTTCCTGTTATTGTTGTTATTATTGTTATTCCTATTATTATTATTATTACTGCCTCTGTCAGCAGAAGTCTGGGAATGACAATTAGTATCAAGAGAAGAACTTAGTTATGAGTGTCATAGAGATCCCTTCTCTTTTAAAAGAAGGACACTGAGGAAAAGCAGAATTGAGAGACTTTGGAATAGAACATTTTATCATGGCAAGTTAAAAATCTTACTTTAGAAGATAAAAGTATAATTGATCTTTCAAAATCAATGCTATGGATAAGTCCAGTCTGGAAAATTGTAGTGGTTCTTTTGAGTTAGCCTTTGCATCCTGTTCTAGAGGGCTCTAGTCTGCAGTGGTGTTCTGTGAGGAGGCAGGAACACACTTTGTGTTTCGGGTGTTTAGCTGTTTGCTACAACACTTGGACGTCCTGGGTTTCCATGCATAAAGGATTCAACTGCTGAGCTATCAAAGGAGTTTTGTCTTCATTTTCTTACGTGACCTACTTCGTAAGGTGAGGGATCTGCTGCACTGTACACTCCTGCATGTGCAGGCATGTTTGAGTGTTGGGTTTTTTTGCTTTTGGAGAGGGGTTAGTTTTATTTCCCTGTTACTGTGTGTAAGGTACAGCATATTCTAGAAGTAGAACACATTGACTTTGGCATGTTCTGGTATGACTGTTCTTACGTTCCTCCTTTCCTGCAGTTTTTAGCATTGGCATTTTTTTTATTTGTTTGGAAGCAGAAAGCTGCAGGAGGTCTCATGTAAATAACTGTTCTATGCTTTAAGCCTCCTAGATCATAGGTTGAGCTAATTGGAGCCAGTTTGCTAAGCTTAGTGGAAAAAGATCTTTGAAATGTGTAGTATATGTTTAGTTCATTAAATTCAGCTTCTGTGCACTGATCTATAAAGTCTGTGGATGTTTGGGTATTGAACTTAAAGACAAACAGGTTGTTCAGCAAGTACAGGCACACTGTAGAATGTTGCTGGGTTTTTTTTCGCAGCAAAAGCAGCCTGCAAGTCCTCTCAAATCAATTTTGGTTTATGAAATGATAGCAGAACATGCATAATGCTGTTGGATTAAGGGCCAGAACAAACCTCTTACTCAAAGACAGATGTTAATACGGATGTGCTCAAACCTAACTAGTGCTGTCATTGCATGTAGGACCATCACCTGTGTCTGAAGAAGAATTCTTGTTTAAATCCAACTGATTATGTGAAAAGTTAAATTGTAGTTGGTTAAAATTGTGGGTCTTTTTAAGAATACCTGGGTGATGTGGAACCCATGGAATTAATAAGTATGAGATTACTTGAGTTGATTGGAGAATTTCAGTGCTCCTGTAATGTCACATTACAGCATACTTGAAAACAACTTGGTCTTAGTCTTGAGGTGAACATTTTCAAGATGGTGCTGTTGTGAATGAGGACAATAGCACTCATGCTTTAATGTTAAGCAGGATTGTCTGCTTTTGTTTTTGGAAAGTGGCAGTTATCATAATGTAGGTTGGAGGAACGTTGTAAGCTGGAGGCTTGCTTGATAGGCTTGGGACTTCTATTGCTTCTCCCTTGCCATACAGGAAGGGATGAAGACAGGCTTTTTCTGTAAATGTATGCTCCAGTTCCATGAAGTTTTAGCGTTTAAATATGCATGTCCTTAGTTTGAGACCTTCTTGTCTGGAAAGTCAAGAGTTGGTGTATCAGACTTGGTCCACTGAGCATGTGCTGTCTGCATCTCTGAGTGGACTACTTGGAGGGAGATGCAAGATGGGTTCTGCTGGTACAGCGCTGCCTGACTTGGTGCTTCTTGGAAGTATGTTACCATTAGGCCTTAAGTTCTGCAGGTCTGACTTAGTTACCAGTTACTTTTTTGATATGCAGGTCAAAAGAAAAAAAAAAAATCCTTTCCTCTCTCCCAAACAGATGTGACTGTGTTGTCTCTTAACTGGGCTATCTTTGCCTGCGGTAAGATGAGTTAAAGTTAGTAAAATCATACTGAGTTCATCAAAGGGTTAGATCTGTCAGCAAACTGATGCTGCTTATGTGCTGTTTCAAACAACTCTCTTTTGGTACCAGCAGCACTTGTATGGGCTTGAAAACACAAAAGCAGCAACATCTTCTAATGTAAACTACAGCACTGGGATCATTGGTAGAACCATCCACTTGAGTGGTTCAGGTGCTGCAGTTGAGGGAATACTTTCCACCCTGTTTTTGTAAAGGGATTTACTTTATCCTTTTTACCCAGTTGTTGTGAAAAACTGGAATTTGGTTCTTTTTTCTTTTCTTTTTTTCCCCTCCCTAGTTAATAGAAATAATGAAATGAAGGAAAGATGTAGTTTTATTATTCTAGAGCGTGTATATCCTTGGAAATTTTCAAGCGAATTATAGGTATTTGCTTTTGCCGTAGTTCCCAGTTGTTCATTCTGTTACTTTATGTATTCTCCATCTGTAGATACCTGCTCGAACAAGACTTTCCAGGCATGCGGATTGGTCCAGAGCCTACCACGGATTCTTTTATTGCTGTGATGTACGGAGATTCAGAAGGAAGCATTCCTGGAAATGCCCTAGTTGTTGATCCTAAGAAGCCGTTTCGCAAACTCAGCCGCTTTGGAAATGCTTTCCTGAACAGGTGAGATCTGTTTGCTTGCTGTCTTTTGATTTAGTTTTTTTGTGTGTTTAAATTTCTACTTGATACCATCTTCAAGCATCAGTGTTTTTTACTAAGTTTTTTCTGCTGTACTTGTTTTGAACAGCATGGAATAAATACTCCAATACAAGCAGGAGCAGTGGCAGTTCAAGTGAATTAAAAAAAAAGGCAGCAAAAAGACAGTACTAGGTGGGGTAGCACTAGCACAGATATATTCAGTTATCTGAATAGAAAATCATGGTTAAAACCAGTTCACAGAAAATTGCTGAGATGTTCCACCAACTGACTAGTTTGTAAGGCATTATGCCAGCTGGAACTCAGGATCTGTTTCGGCACAAGTTCTCACTCTCAATAAAACTGATAGATTAGTACTATTATTGAAAACTACCATCCAAAAAAAGGCAAAAATATTTTCCCTTTACGATCTTGTTCCTTTCCACTGGTCTCACCAGAGGTCTTGGTATAGCTCTTTAAAATTGTGAATTGGTGGGCTGTGTAAAAAAGCCTACAAGAATGGAGAATATTTTGAATTTACCTACTGGATGAATATGTATTCAATCTGTTAAGTGCTTAATTTTGACTAGCTGGTCTTCAAGCAGTCCCATAGACCAGGATGATAGCATTAGCTTCTGGATGACTGCTGTGTATTTGCGAAAAATGGGAGAGTTGTTATGGGGCTGTGAATATTGCTGTAGGTAACTTAAGTAGCAGGCTGAATATTTCCAGTTAAAAGTTATTAATAACTTTTTTCGCATTGTGTGAGCAATAACCTTGTTTTCTTCCTGTATTTGATGGCAGCTTGATATGGAGGTCTGGCTTTGCGAGCCAGTTAATCTAAATTGATTCTCTTTTAACAATAAAGTTTCCTGTTTGGCTGATAAACACTGGTGTATGTGTTAAAAGTTCATCATGTATGGGCTTATCTCTTGCTGTGCTTATTCACAGAAGAAAGTTTATAGCTGCTTAGAGTTTGCTTGGCTATCGCTTTGCTGAGAGATAAGAATATGTGCGTGGGAAGCTGCAATCAAGTCGCATTTTAAATAATAATTTTGTGATCCAAGACCTCTTTCTGTGACAATATTGACTAAGTCCTGTCCTCCAGGTCACTATTCTGGTTGATTCTTTCCCCGCCATTGTGCTCTCTACAAAAAGTTAAATATATTTATCCTTTTGGTGGCTGTGATATTGTTATATTGCAGTGCTGTGAGCAACCTTTTCTTCCTCAGCAGTCACGTTTGCTCCTTAGTTTTGCAGAGGAGATCTAGGTGCTTTTAGGTTCCCCTAGCATCACCCTTGGTCTGCAACTCTGATCATATTGCTTCTTTTTCAAAACTTGTCAACTCCTTTCTCTTTCCTACTTCACCTAGTTGAAAATGTCTTTGGCTTCAGTTCAGTATCTTTGAGTAACTTTCCCCTGCTCTTACCTGCAATCATACTACATATTTTACTTTGCCTTCTCTCATTTGTCATGCTGACAATCCTTTATACCCAATATTACATTTTTCACTCATAACCATAGATTTTCTCTACTCACCCCCACTTTTTTTAAAAATGATTTCCCAATCCTAGTGTTTTGCTTTATGGAAGAATTTAGGGCCAAGAACAGTTTGACTGTGAAGTTAAGTGCCCTTTTATCTAAATGTAACATGAAAGGAAACAGCGACTGAGGTAATGGAGAAACTAAAACCAAACAATAACACACTAGCACAATCAAGGCTTGTACTTAAATTAGCTGCATTAATTTATTGATGTTACTTTGCCTCTTTTTTCCATGACCTCTTCTTATTTCCCCCTGTATCTTGCTGCTTGTGGTAGACGTCTCTGTAAGGCTTCTGAGTGCAGAAACTTGTCTCTTTATTTTTCCTATGTACTTTTAAGGGACGTTGGTGGGGGAAGGGGATGAGGACAGGACCTCGTCTGCCCTTGGACGTTAGTTAAAGTGAGGAAAGAATATTGCCGTATACCAGAAGATCATGGAAATAAATTGGCACTGCTGGGAAGAAACACATGGTCCTGCTCTATTCTAATGGGTATCTGAATGGACACAAAAAGGAGTATAAATTCTTACTAGATACTTTGAGTCATCCATAGTTAATCTAAAAAAAAAAAAGTAAAATCGACACATGATTACAAGGTTGTTGATTTCATTTTTCCCAACAACGTAACTTCTTTTTGCAAGGATGGTCTAATATTGCTGGTTTTCTTTAACAATAGTTTTGTAATAATATGAAAAACATGACAGTATCAAAGGTCTAATAAGCAGTTAGTCATCTCATTCGTACAACTATTTTTGTAATGCTTTTTTTGGTGAAGGTCTGTTATTTAGGTAGATGTTACATAGCTTTGCTTTTTATGATGCAGTGCTTAAAATCACACTTCATACAGGCCATGTAAGAAATAGTGGTTCAGAGCCAAGTCTCAGTGTCAAAAAGAGATATTCAAATACAACTAGCGTTAGAGTTTTAAGTTGTCTAGAATACTAATTTGATGTAAGACTTTTAACCCATCTGTTGTCTTTAGGTTATGGACGTATTCTGAAAACTACAGTCAGTTAATCCCGATTTTATACTTCTATTTCATATCCTTTTGCTATATGCTTTCCTCCTCCCTTTGCCACTGATGACTGCTGCAAAGACTGCAGTGTCTTTCCATTTCTGAAGCTTGCAGTTCTCTATTTTCTGGCACAGTCTTTCCCAGCTGTCCCAGTTCGGGTGATGCCTAAGTCAAAGTACTGCCGTGTTGTTCAGCTGCAATAATGGTGCCCATCTTCCCATAAGATAGACCTAGAAACATCTCGGAGTGAGAAACATTCACCTATGTAGTTTTTAAGAGAGGACAAAGTCTGTGAAGCAAAGCTTTATTTCAGTGCTGGGTGCATGGGAGATCACCTCCGTGATCCTCCTGCATGCACACTGGTTAGTCTCACCTCCACATATTTACTTAGGACAGTTATTCATATTCATGTCATTTCTCGGAAGTCTTATACATAATCAAATTATTTCCCTGAAGTTATTTACATCTATACCCTCCTACTTGCATCTGTGCACTGTTCTCTAGGGGTCTTCTTTGAGGGTCGTGAGGTGAAGGCTCAAAGTCTTCCTCTCGGTTGAACTCCTTATTCTGGCGCCTGCGCTCTATTGTTTCGGTTATATTGCAAACCCAAGTTGACAGTTAATCCTCTCTTTCTTCCATATGAGGGCAGGAAGGTGACAACCAGGTAGAGGCTAATCATGGCTAAGATAAGTGGTGTCAGCCAAAGCAACTTAACTCTGTACCCAAATACACATTACCCTGTCTCCGTCCCCATACTTGGGTACCTGAAAACTTACATTCTTTCCAACCGCCTATCTGCTATGGCTTAAGCAAAGCCACAATACCACTTCTCACATCGGTGATACTAAACAAGTGCTGGGCTTTCTAAGGTTGGAATAAAGTGATAAGAAAAAACATATATGAAAATTGAGTCTCCACACTTCCAAATTTGTGGAAGCTGCTTCGTGTTGTACATACTAGTGATGTATTTTTTTTTATTTGTTGACATGGTGAAATGCATTTTTTTTGTTGTTTATGCATCCACTATGCTTCAGCAAAATGTTTGCTTTAGCATAGTGTGTCCTTTAGGTTTCGGAAAGTTCAAAAAATGTTATTTTATTTCATAGTACCTCACTCCTCTTTCGAGAGCATCTCTTAAGTTAGTAGAAAACTAGCCTTAGTGGAAGAGTTTGCTTCAGATATTCAGTATTTTCTACACCTGGTGTTCCACTAAAAACCCAAAGGGTAGTGCTGTTTACATACCCTGAGGTTTTGTCAGGCCAAGATGGCTGCAGCTTCCTTATCCCCTCTTGGGTTTCAGGGAGAGGCATAGCTGGTGCTGCCATTTCTGTTGTACACAAGAAGGGATGCTGTGTGCTTTTGTTAGACTTGTAACTACAAGGTCACTTGAAAAAACAAGGTGAAGCGAGGTGTAAGTATTTTTTTTTTTCTTCCTGATTTTCTTTGGATCATCTGGATCATTATTTGTCCAACAATAGCTTCCAAATTTCGATACATCTTACATTTTGTATCTGATATGACTACCTGAAGTCTTCCTAACTAAGATTATCTTTGGTCTTAAAGCTCTTGTTTGACCTTGGCACGGTTAAAATTTGCTGTCTGTGATACCCTATTTCTTGAGGTAGTGTGCCTTCTAAAGCGATGGGTTAATGCAGGGCGGCCATCTTATACAGCCTGAGCCTGCAGCCTGACCCTGTGCTAGGCTGCTTCAGGGCAGCTTCACAGGAGGAGGGTAGGGTACTGTGCTTGTTAGTAGGGTCTTCGGCTGCTACCTGGTAAGAAGATTAAACTCTTACGCAAATCTCTTAAAGGGAGGTGAAGTTTTTCAGTCATGAACTATCCCAGAAGCATCAGAGTAGTTTGGATTTAACACACAAAGTGTTCTGCACGGCTCTCGGAGGCCTCGTGAATTATTTATTTTTCATAATGCCACCGTTGAATTTGTCTGCCATTGTAGAGGCAGGAGGTTATTGTTTAGAGCATGCTGTGTGTAATTTGACCTCTTGGTTCTGGCAGTGTGAAAGCTTTTGCTTGGTTTGTGGGAGAAATACTATTGTTTTCAGTCCTCCGCAAGCCCCACCTCAGGAGGGTGGTGGGTTAGAGATGGGGACTGTTTAGGTGCTGCCAGAGCAGGTGCGAGGGTGACTTGGCAGTGACTGGAATATAAACGTATCATCAGTATGGCTTTCTGCCTGATTCCCTTTTCTTTTGAATCCCTTTGAATTTGGGCAAAAGTGGGAGTACATGAAGAATTATTTCTTGCGTGTACTAATTTTGATCATAGTAAAATGTTTGTTTTATGGAATCTTTTTAATGTTGCATATATGGCCCATGTTCTCAGCTCTTGCAGAATTTGGAATTTTATCAGCAGTCAGACATGTGGTTTTACAAGGTTTTCCTGTGTTTTCTTTTTTGAGAAGCTCTCTGTTTACATTTTGTTTTCTTAAACATGTATGGTTGTCAAACATAGGGGTTCATTAGAACTTCAGAAACTTTTTTAAAAATCTCATTTCAGTCTTCCTGAAAGCGGATACATTAAGGGGAGCTGTTAAGGGACAATTTACACTTGAGCTAGAGCTATTGTTAATGTTTTTTTTCCCTGCCTCCTTTCCTGCAGGTTCATGTGTTCTCAGTTACCTAACCAAGTACTGAAGAGCATCAGTATCATTGACAGCCCTGGCATTCTCTCTGGAGAGAAGCAGCGCATCAGCAGAGGTGAGTTGCAGGACTTGAAAATAACCGAGCTCACTATTTTTTGCTGTACTGGACAAGTCATCATCCCAATCTGTTGGAGGCCTGTTTTAGTGGTATTGAGTGGTGGTGTGTCCCAAACTTTTTTACTACAAGGCGTATTAAACCCATGTTTTAAGGCTGGATGTAGAGTTTGGAATTTTTTCTCTTGAAAACTGGTGGGATTGGGATTTCTTACCCTGCTATGGCTGCAAATGGCTATGGTTGCATGGTCTATTGACTAATTAGTGCTTTGACGCTCCTGAGGAAAAACGTTATTTCCCTAATTTTAATTGCTTTCCACAAAGTAGTAATGAATAGACTCATATATACTATTGCAGTTCATGAATGAAGAATGAAGAAGTGGTTCATAATTGCTAAAGCTCTTCAAGCTGGTCATGTTTAAAAACTGAGGGGGTTGAGCTATAAATAAGGTGCTTTTATTGTAGGCACAGCTGCTAGTGTTGCGGTATGGAAGTGAACATAAAATAAGCAGATAACTAGAGCATCATATTAATATGCCACTGAAGAAGCGTGCAATTGTGTGACAGAATTCAATGCCATTAGGGATTGCTGTGGAAGTCCCAGACTTCGTGTGTGGGACAGAGTTGTGTTTCACTGGTAGTCCCGTGTTGCTTAGAGGACCGTGGCTCTTCACTGCCATCTAGAATTGCTCTTGTGACCTAACAAAACATATGACTGTTGTTCCTTTATTGTTCAGAAACTCTGTTTCTTGATAGTATGTGCCTTATCAGCTGTTTTTATGGCCTAGCTGGCCTGCCCTTTGGTATGGTAGACTTTCGACTAAGTTGACAGTGCCTAGTGGTAACCTCAAACTCTTAACCTGTTTCAGAGGCTTTAACTTGATTAGTTTGCATTTCATGAATTTTTTTCTTCAATGTGTTAAGGATTGTCTTGAATATGTAACTTGGCAGTTCTTTTATCACAAATATGGTTCTCCTATATGCTGTTTAGCTTTAACCAGTGTGGTTGTACCATAAATAAGGTTTGGGGAGTCAGCTTTAGAGCACTGTTCTCTGCCCCAGGACAACTGTTGCCAAGGTTTATGGTTTCATATACTGAGGCATCAGCATACGCGGAGTACCTGCAAGTCACTGTATGGTCCTGTTGCATGCTCTTATGATTAGGCAATACTGTGCTCACCCATGTCTGAAATATTGCATAGTCAGATACATTTCCTGTATGAGACTTTTGGGCTGCCTATGCAGTTTCCATACATGTTGTTTTGTGGAGCTCAAACTTGACTTGTCCTGTGGTGCTGCACACAGCAAGGCCTGTCCGACCTGCTTCCTGAAGGAGTCAGACTGACTTCAACATATTTATGGCACAAGTCTAATTTAGCATGTTTTGAAGTTTGAGTTGCATAGATTACTTTTTAAATGACTGTGTGCAGATGTAAGCAGGTTTCTAGAACATGTTTTCTGCTGTCCCTAAATGTCTCTGTCAGAGAAGGTTCTGTTTGTACAGCTTCAGACTAACAAAGATTTTTTTCCTCCAAAATGCATGTTGTTACCCCTTAAGTTCTCTGGCTGCTGCTCACTGAAAAATGTTGCAGCTGGTGTGCTTCACTATGGGAAGTGCCATTTCGTTTCACTGTAAAAGTGATTAAAGACTTAAATATAGGGATGCTTTTCTGTGCTTGCCAGGAAAGCTCTAAATATACAGGCTAATTCTTCAGAATTTGTTTCTTGACAATTTCATGGTTTTGTATTTCAAAATTTTATAGTTCAGCAAATTTTTGAAGCTGTCTGTTTCTGTTTCTTAAACTTTTATTTTTCTTATGAATCTTGCTGCTGTTTTCTAAATTGTATATACAAGATGAGATTTTTTTTCATAATTCATAATAAGTATTCTTAGATGCTTTCTATTTGGCACATTATTGGTGTCTGTTCATATCTGAGTTTTTAAATTACCTTTCTAGAAGTTTAGCTTGTTTCTAACATTGATGAGCAGCGACTTTTCGTATTGGTGATGTTTTAATGTGTTTGATGGAAGAATAACATTAGAGGATCTCAGTGTAAAACCTTCACTCTTTGCTCTTGGTGGGTTTTTTCCCCATCTTCCTGTGAGCAACTGCTTAACTATTTACCTATGAATGGATGTAACACCTGCATAATGATAGAATTTGACAGGTATCACTAGGAGTAAGGTGAAGCCTTCTGAGACCAACAAAGCAATCAAATGCTAACTCTCAGTTCCAAAATGCAGGAAAATGGTAAAGAGACTGTGTAAAAATACAGGATATGCACTACTTCCCAACATGTTTTATTTATAACTCTGGAAAGCATTCAGGCCATGGATGAAGGAGCTGATTGCTTTCCGAAAGGTCAAAAATACACAGAGTGCAACATTCAAAGCTGTCTCTCTTGACACACCTTTCCCGCTCTTGTTGTCGGCAGGAGGATGTGCCAGGAGCTTCCTGCCTGTCAGTTCAGGGGCTGCGTAAGTGTCTGGAGGAGAATGTGCGGACATGTGCCAGCATTGTCCCTGATCAGACAATGCCCGTCCCTGTGCTGCCTCTGCAGCGTCACTGGTGACATTCACAAAGCCCATGTCAGACAGAAATGTGTGTATGGTCTGCAAGATTTGGAAGCAACGGGGAGCGTAAGGAGAGGAGGAAGGAGAAGCAATGTCTGGCAGGGTGTGGGGAGGAACTGCTTTTAGAAAGGGGCGGGGGGTGGTTCATGATTCAGTGGCATGAAGTTGAGGGTTTCAAGAAGTATGGGGAACGAACTCAGAGGAAAATGGGAGGATATTGGTTAGCTTGCATTTTTAGATCTGGAGTTAGTCAAATATAGGGGATTTTCTCAGTTCAATCTGGCTTGTGAAAATATAGTCATGGATTAAGTAAGGTGACATATAGTTGCAGCATTGTGTCAGTCTTTCCCTTGCAGCAAGACACTGTACATTCTCCTTAGGATTAGTCCACCAACAGGAGCGCAGTTAAGAGTGTGCTGGATTGAGATAGGCATTCATTAACATAACTGGAAACTTCCACCCTGGATAGCAAAAAGTGCATCTTTCCATGTGGGACTGAGCTCCATTTGAAAGACTGGGAAGTTTAGATGCTGACCTGTGGTAAAGCATTGGAAGAACAGCAGTTTGGGCAGTGGGGAAAGGCTGCACTTGCCAGTGTCCAAATTGTGTGTTGTAGCCTTGGTTGTGTGGTACTTGGACAGCAGTGGCAGGTGGGATTGCTCTAGCACTCTGCCCACCCCTGCTTCATCTGGGAAGTGGGCACTGTTCTCTGAGATTGGAGGCTTCTCATGTTGTGTCTCAGTGCTGAAATATTTAACCATATATCACTTCTCTGTAGTTCAGATATACTCTAATGTGTGACCACTGAATCTGTATATAAAATAGGTTCACTTCTGATGACAAATTGTCATTAAAATGAATAGATTTTTTTCACATTTTTAATGAAGTCTTTTTCTTACCCATTTTCGATAAGCAGCCTTTTCTTTCTCAAAGCAAATGCTCCATTAATATTTAATTCATATTTAAAATAAATTTATTGCTAGTTAACATGCACTTGTTGACTGTACAGTTGTTTTTACCATTCAAAATCTATCAAATGTGTGCTGGGAGTTTATGTATTTATTTAACCAGCCTTATGAGTCACCTTCTCGCATATCCATTTGTGGAGAACTTAATAGAATTTAACTTGCTTCATTTTGCAACTTTATCTATTTCATTTCAAGCATACTTCCTTCTACGTGACTGAAATCAGAACAGGTTATTGTGTAGCTCAGACTTGTGCACTGTTGCAGCTATGTTGTGACATGCAAGTGGCATAGAAGATCTTGCTTCTCCCTTTCTTCCCTGCCAAATTTTTATAAAGATAAATTATTCATACTGGTTTTGATTAGATTGTTAGTGTAAAGTGAGAAGAGTTCTCTTCTAGCTGTGTTCTGTGCAGCTTTCCTCCTTGCCCCCACCTTTCATCTCGTGTTCAGCCCTTCAGGAACTGTTCATAGGAAAGAACGTGTGAAAGCACCAGAGCAGCATTATCTGTAAAGGGACCAGATTTTTCCATTCCTTACAAAGTAATCATTTTAATAGGAAAGATTATGTTGGCTTTTTTTTTGTATAGCCAGTTAATGAGTCTGACCTGCATCCTTTCAACTTGATGTGTCTGCTGGATTTTTAGTGAACTTTTATGATCTCTTTTTTGGGAGGGTTGGGGGACAGGGAAGACAGGTAACTAGGGACATTTTTCTTACTATTAACTAGAATTTCTGGATTTAATTTCATATGCTATTTGATTTTTAAACAGAAGATTTAAGACTGAGTTCTTTCCTGTGTTGCTAAACATGCACAAGTATGTTCCATGATAAATCTAGAGTTCACCATTTTTTCCTATTATTTTCATTTATGTCTGCTTTTCTTGGTGTTGGCCCTAGCCAGGTTCTAATGGAAAGCAAAAACATTTTTGCTTTTGGGTTAAAGGCCAACAACTTGAAGGTATAATGAATAATGACTTGACTGAACCAGCATTGTTTTAAGAAAAGCTAAGCAGCTTTACAGTGTCTCCAAATCCTTTTATTTATAATGTTGAAAAGATGCTAGGGAGAATGATGAGTGGTGAAGAGTGTTTTGCTTGTATCTGGACCAGGTGTATGAAGTGTTTGGATAATTGGCTCATGTATGAGTAGTGTAAGTGGGTTTTCTTTGCTAGGGTATTAGAGGGTTAAAGGCTTATCTTGCACAGCTGAGAAATGACCAAAGACACCCTGGATGCCCATTGCTGGTAACTGAGCTTTCTTTGCTCTTGGCATTGAAATATATGCTGCTGGGAACTGTTGATTCTGTTTGGGTTGCTTTACACCAGTTCTTGCATTTTGAGTGCTCTCTCTTTTAGCTCTGATTTCTTTCTGAGAGGAAGACGAGGGGTGGGATGTTGGCTCCCAACTCATACCTTGCTGTTCCTTACTCAAACAAGATGAGTCACATCCATGCCAAGCCCAATGCCACATCACTAGTGGTGACTCGCTGTGGATTAAATGTGTCACTTCTGAATAAGGAGTTCCTGAATACTATTTGTTCTGTGGATTAGAGGCCAGCTACACTTAAAATGTTCAGACAGGCAGTATGAATAGGCTTTCCTTTAGAACATCACAAAGTTTGTTTCAGATGATCAGGAATGTCACTGTGTTCTGTAACCTGTCATGTCCCCAAAGCTATCGGCAACGCAGGCATGTTACTTGTAAATTGTATCTCTGAGTCTGCTGTGGCAGAAATAACAGCAAGTGTTGCAATGCAAGGAGAGATGAGTTTGGAAATGGTTTTAAAATCCAAATATTTTTCAGTTGCTGAGTTACGCTGCAGTGCTGCACCTGTGCTATTTCCCTTGTTAGTACAGATAGGCAGTGCTACTAAAGTGGCCAGCATTAAGAGTGATGAAGAGAGCTTGTGATAAAGCCCCACAGACCTGCTTAGCTTGGGCACTCTGCTGGAGCCAGAACTCCTGGGAAGAGGCAATCAGGGGTGTGAGATGGTAACTCAGAGCAGCACAGAAGATAGTGACATAAGAGAGGGATGGCAAGGTTGAGGGAAGGGCAGTGCTAAAAACAAAAGGTGGTAATAGCAAGACCAGTCTAAGGAAATGTAGGATACAGTTGTCCTGACCTCATTGTCCGCGCTCTCCTCCAGGTGGCCCATCTCCTCATTTCGCCCGGGTAGATGCTGTGATCCCTTTGTTCTCTATCCCCAAACCTGCCTTCTCGGAGACTCACATTTCTGAATGGTAGAACTGTAATAATGTATTCTTCCTTCAGGCTACGACTTCTGCCAAGTCCTCCAGTGGTTTGCTGAGAGGGTTGACCGCATCATCCTTCTTTTTGATGCCCATAAGCTGGATATATCTGATGAGTTTTCAGAGGCTATTAAGTCATTCCGGGGCCAGGATGACAAGATTCGAGTGGTGCTTAATAAGGCCGACCAAGTGGACACACAACAACTGATGAGGGTCTACGGTGCACTCATGTGGTCCCTGGGAAAGGTGATCAACACTCCAGAGGTGCTGCGGGTCTACATTGGCTCCTTCTGGGCCCATCCTCTGCGAAACACAGAGAATCGAAGACTCTTTGAGGCAGAGGCACAGGATCTTTTCAAGGATATCCAGAGTCTCCCGCAGAAGGCTGCTGTGCGGAAGCTCAATGATCTCATTAAGAGGGCAAGACTTGCAAAGGTAAGAAAAGATAAAAAACCTAAATTAGTTGAATGAGTGGTCTCTTCTGTCTCTTCCAATGTGTCCTTCCTCACCCTTCCCAGTCTTTCTCTACCTATAAGCTGTGTGCTTTTCAGCAAATGGATTGAATTGTCAGTTTTTCAAGGAAGAGATAGCCACTCAGGATATAGAAGCACGTAGGAGGAAATCAAGACTTGTACTGGGATGCCTCCCTAACTTCAGAGAAGGGATGTGATGCTTTTTAGGCAGTTAAAGCCATTGTTTGCTTAGTAGTGGAATGGATTTTTTTTCTTTACACTATGCAGTGAGGTAATCAATGTTACTTTTTGGAGATAAACCACTTTTTTTTTAACAGTAGCTGGTATATAGAGAACACTTTAAAAAGGAAAAAAGAAAGAGGGGCAAAAAACTACAACCAAAACTATTCACATACAACCTTCCATATGCTTTTTTGCATATTAATGCCTTAATGCATACTGTCAATCAGCTGCTGTGGAAAAACACTTTGACTAAATGCATTTATGATATGCCCTGGAATACAAGACTGATTAAAAACCTCACTTGAGGTGAAGCAAGGATACTGATGAATTGGAGAGGTGCTTGTGTGTTAGATTGAAACTCTTGAGCCTCTCGGGTTGTATCTGCTTCATTCCCAGTCACAGAGACAATTGGGTGGTACAGACTTTGTGTCATCCTATGCAGAAAAATCTCTCTCTCGTTATCCAGGCATATGAGTTATGTGCCCCACTGTAGGTAGCCCCTGTCACCATTCCCATTGTTTTTGACTCTGGAGGAGTACATGCGTTGTGTGCAACCTACAGTCACCAACTAGGGTGCGTGGGCAGGCTGGCTGTGACAGCACTGTGACTGTCTACAACTGGCTGTTGAAAACCTGTTTAATTTTTTGATAGGTCTCTAGTTATCTTTGAATGAGTGGATGTCACTTCAAAGCTTTGTGAATTATCACCAAGTTTTAATTATTTATAAAACCTTCTGGTTATATTTTATACTAATCTTCAAACTCCCTGCTTAACAATACTGGCTTAATCTGTCCTTTCTTCTCACAGCCTGACTAGAATAAGCTTTGGTTGCAATCTGAAATAATTCTTTGCCTGTTTTGCTGATTCTGCAGTGAGTTTATTTTATTGTAGCACTGCAGCTGCTGTTAGAATAATAGTTAAAAGCACTGCCAAGCATCTTGTTGTTTTGAAAAGCTTAAGAACAAAGTGAAAATTCGCAATTCAAGAATTACGATTTATCATTTGGAAAACTGGAAAGGAAGGAAAACTAACCTCAGAAATAGTTGGGGAGAAAGCTGGTGGTACCAGACAGAAATTCTGGTTTCCTATGCAGTTACCAAACAGAATGTGAGTTGAGTCAATGCAATTGCCTTGGAACACATTTTCATGTTGACTTCAAAGCAAAAATGAAGAGGACTTGTGCTTACACCGATAAAAGAATAGTCATGTGGGGATGTATACCACTTCTGATGTTGGCTTAATTAACCCTGTGAATATAATGATACACTTAAAAGTGGGGGGAGGGGGGGGTATTGTGGCCTGAGCTTTAGGGCACCCCATAGCAGTTGCTCTTTTGAAAATTCAGTTTACATTCCTGATGATGATGTGTTAAAAGTTTCTATGATCTCAATCCGTTCTGTGGATGTTGTTGGCAGCTTTTTGCTTTCATTTGTTACAATCGTTTTGGAAGTGGAAAAGTGTCAGATGGATCCTCTTTAGATATTTCTATGTAATATAAAATAAAAATGAATAAAGGTGAATACAAAATACAGTGCTTGTACAACATGCTAATTAGGCAGGTATGGAGGGGAAATAAACTGTTTATCTCCAGGAAAGCAGCAATGGAATTTTTCCAGTGTTGTCTTTCTATCTTCCAAACTGAACTTAAAGTATTCACACTCCAAAATCATTTTTTACAGCATTGCATGGTATTTTTTTGTCCTATTTCTATGCTACTCTGTTTTTAATATCTTCTAAAACACATACAGTCACCAAAACCAAAAGCAAACTGTTAATTTGCTGTCAAATTTGGGCATTAGGCTTTTTATTTTGTTCTGTGACTCACTATCCTGTTTTGAAGATGAGAACTGTTCTTATCTACAAGAAGCACATGTGCATACTGGCAGACCTTAGACTGCTTAGTGTACATATGTGAATCTCTTAGTGCTTGTGAGCTATAAATGTACTTTTCTGGTTTTGCTAGGAGTATTATTTTAAACATAAGATCCATAAAATTACTTACAATTATTTATAAACTCTCTTAGAAATATCCTTGTTGAATCAGTTCTGTCATTCTGGAGAAATACTCATATCTGCTGTATTAGAAAATGTCATGGTTTTATGCGGAAACCCAGCTTCTTTATGCTGTTTATTTTTTTTTCTCCTTTGTAGAAATTTCAATTTATCTCCAGTGAAAATGCATGCACTCTTTTTAGATATGAGGAAGTGATGTTGTGTGAAAGTTATGATCTTAAGATGTGCAAATAAAAACTGGTTACACCATTTTTCTTTAAAAACAATGAGATTTTTTGTTTCAGTTTCCAGTAAGCCTCCTAAATAAGTAAGGAAAGGAATGGGAGAGCACTTCCCCTGTACAGATTGTATAAGGTTTGTACAGATACTGTAACGCACGTGCTGTTGTGTTTTGGTAGGTATTAAGTATTACACCACATCTACGTAATCACTTTTTTTCTACTGATGCTTTTTTGTGGTAATCCGTCTTCTCGCAGACTTCAAAATTTCAGCTTTTTACTGCTCAACAGTTTGATAGACGTTCTTTTTTTTTTTTAATGTATTTTCTGTGTGTGTGAAAATTCTAAGTAATTTCTGTTCTGGGAACAGCTGCATCTTTTTTTAATGAAGAAGGACCTGAGTTCTGTAAAGATTTCTCCTGTTGTAGAGGTCATTTGACGTCAGTGGTTCTGGCTGGGTCAGAGCTTAGGAAAGTAGTTTGATTACGTCAAGTTGTGGTAGATGTGCATTCCTTCTAAAAGAAGAGTGCCCTTGTTCTGCACACAAGAGGGAAGCATGAGTATCAGTGTCCATGCAATGAACTCACCTCAGTGACTAAGGTCATAAGTGGATAGGTGAACTGAGTTAAGAAGTGCAGCCACTGTTTCTGTCTTGGACCAGATCCCTTGCTGTGTGGCCAAGCAGATCCTTTTGGTGGTGAAAGAAGGTGGGAGGGTGGTAAAGGGGAAGAGATGAATGATTCAGGGTAAGGGTGGAAAGAGGGTGCATGGGCAGGATGGATGTTTTGATGGCAGTGCCGGATTATCGTGATCACTGCAGATGGGAAACTCTGAGCTCTGCAACCATTAATGTGTTTTAGGACTTGTCATCCTAAATTATTGTCTTTCCTTATACACTGGAAAGGCTCGAATTTTCTCCCTAAGGCTTTGCAAGGCAGCCATGGCATGCTGTTCGTGTAGCATACCAACTGCTCTGTCATCCTCTGGTGCCTGCGTAAATATAGACTATAGATACTCACTTTTCTGGGAGTAAATAGGTAGGAATGCAATGTCATGTCAATTAGATATCCCTGCCACTTAGCATACTTGGGTTACTTGAGGCATTATCCCATTGCTTCCCAAAATAATTGGTGAGGCAAATGAAGTTACAAATCTCTACCACTGAGACAGAGGGACCAATATGGCTGGTGCTCTTTATATGATCCATGCATGTAGTGTCAGGACATGTTTTTGGGGGCCTTGCTTTTTCTCTCACTGTTGGTGCTGATAGAATATTGTACCATGCTTCTTAAACTGCAAGTGTGCAACTGTATTTCTTTTAAATGTGTTTGCTTTCCCTCTGTACCTCAAAGGAGTACGGAAAGCAACAAAAACTAGTTGATAACTGTTTATGTAAACATGAAGTTCTAGGAACAATCAATGATAATATCTTATCCTTGAGCTGACTTAGGGAAACATGTTATTTATGTTTTCTTTTTATGACCTAGGTGAAGAGCACTAATGTTAAGTGTAGATAAACAATAGTCTTGATTCCAGTTTTGCTTCTTCTTAGGTTCATGCTTATATCATCAGCTATCTGAAAAAAGAAATGCCCTCTGTGTTTGGAAAAGAGAACAAGAAGAAGGAACTGATCAGCAGATTACCAGAGATCTACACTCAGCTGCAAAGGGAATACCATATCTCAGCAGGGGACTTCCCTGAAGTCCAGAAAATGCAGGTAAGATGATAAATTACAGTTCCACTGAAATAATACTAACTTTACAACAGGATTGCCAAATTGGAAAAGGTAGGACAGAGTATATCAGCATTATAGTATAGGGTCTTCAGCAATAGAGCAATTGAAGTGACAGTCGTGTCTGTTATGGAGTTAGCATGACTAGCATGACTTGGAAACAGTGCAGAACAATAAAAATTGATGACTTGCTTAGTGTGCATCCACTGATACAGGACTACAGAAACTGATAAGGAATCAGACTTTCTGTCCTTTTAGTCAATATTTGGTCCCTCGTAGCAGATAGTACTACAGGTTTTGTACAAATAAAATGGCAGTGGACTCTTACGGGTTAAGCTAGCGTTTTGTGTCCTAAATGTGGGTGTTTGTATTGCTTTTGTAGGTGAAGATATCCTCAGTCACATATTTTTACCTTACTCTGTTCTTCCTCTTACTGATACTGTTTGCCAGTGAGTAATAAAGGCAATGTGTTATCTGAAAAGTCCAGCTTAAAAGCTATCTCTTCTGAAAATGGTGCCTTTCAGCTTTTTTCTGTCCTTTTGAGCTTGTATTCTATGAAGAGAGAGAGAAGTTCTCAATTTGTACTCTTATTGTTAATTTTTAAATACCTTTTGTCTCTTGTTCCTCTTTTGAACTTTATGCAATCTTACTACCAAATTTCTGTCACTTTCCCACCTTTTTATTTCTGTCTTCTGATTTGAGATGAGTTGTTTAGAGTGTATCCAAGGGAAGAACAGCTAATGTTTTGTTAGCAGTGCTTTTCAATTTATTCCTCAAACCTCAATTTGCAACTTTTGGATCTCAGATCATAGGCTTCTTAAATGACCTTTGAATTAGAAGATAATTCAGCTTGGAAGCTGAAGAACATGAGATCAGGAGCCTGCAGTTTCGTCTGACTGTGGGCTAGTCATGAGTGTGATGGAGGATGTTTTCCAGATTGAAGCTTGTGTATCATTTTGACAATTTATGTGGTACACTTACACTGCTAATCATAAAGAGTGAATAACCTATCTATAGGATGCAGAAGTTTCATTTATAAAACTAAAGTATTGAACTTGGGAATCAGTTACTGGCATGAAACAGTAAATTATAAATGAAGCACAAGATCTCTTTCAGCTAGGTTTTCACAGGCAGGATTGTTGGAAAGGTTTCATGAGATAGGCTTTAAAAGGGGGTTGGTAGTGTGGAAGAAGTTGACTCTTTCTTCCCTTGCCACTTTTGTAGTGATGCGAAATGAGAGAATGAGAGGTGATCACTTGTCAGTTTGAATATGGAAACAATTTGTTTGGAACTTTTGTCAAACTAATATTGCATGTTGCTAAGCCTCAGCAGCAGATGGCAGCAGATACATACGCGAAAGATCAGTCACTTCTGTAATGAGGAGCAAAATTGTGAGAAAACAAAACTGTACCAAAACAGACAGCGGGTTTGACCTTTGCTTTCTAAGATTTATTGCGTATCATAAATTTGTACTGATCAGTGTCTGTAAATCAGGTGATTGTTTATAAATGTCACCTGAACAGAGTGATAGTTGTTGGTGATTTTCTTCTAAGAAATCCAAAGCTCTGTGTGCATGGTCAAAGCCACTTGCCTGTGCTTCATGTTTCTTGGGTTCCTGTCATTATAGTTCTGACATGTATGGGAGCAGCTCCCTGAGGAGATAGATGTGGCTTGTTAAAGCAGTTTAACACCATTTTGAGAGGGATTTGGGGCACGGGAGGAGCAGTGTTGTTTGGGTTTTTTTAAGTTTCTACTGTAACTCTCTTCCTGGCTAGTATTCTGCATGTAGAAATCACTTAATTGCCTAAAGCATTTTTAATTTTCCATTGGTCTGATGTAAAACATGCTTGGGCTTGTGTTGGAATAGCACATATCACCTAGTTACACATCTCACTGAGACTCGTAGTTTATGTACGAGATGAAAACTCAGCAGGGACCATATGACTTCATGAGTTCTGGCAGCACTTCTATAAAAATGCTGCTGCTGTTATCCCAACTCAGTTTTTCTTTATTTGTAAAGGACGCTTCTTCATTACTGAATCACAAACAAGAAGTTTTATCAATAAAATCAGATCAGTCCTGCAAACTCTTGGATTTATTTTTAACTTTAAACGCTTGAGTAAGTGCTAGCAGGACTGAGGACTTACTTGCATGCTTTCTTTGATGTTTGAAGAAAATCACAAAATGGGAAGTTGCTGGGTGACATTCATCAACTGCCATGTTTTTATGCGTTGCCATTTTGGAAATTGTATTGTAAATGTTTTTTAATAGACAAGCTCATACACTGTTGCAAAATTGACTTAGTGTATTTGGTCAGTATATTGAGTCTATGTACACCCTTTGCTTCTCCTTCAAGAGGAGTTTCAGTTATGGAAACTGCTTCAAAAGATAACAGATTGTTTCAATTTGAAGCCCATTCTTTAACCTCTTCAGTGTGTTGGAAATGTTTCTAACTACTGTCACTGAAACCTTTGTCATTGACAGGAGCTGTTGGAGACTTGTGACTTCACTAAATTTCATTCTTTGAAACCAAAGCTAATTGAAGCTGTGGATAACATGCTGGCCAACAAAATTGCCTCCCTGATGAGCCTGATCAGAGAGGAAGAGAGCAATATGCCCACAGAGGTTGTACATGGTGGAGCATTTGATGGCACCATGGCAGGACCTTTTGGCCACGGATATGGAGAAGGTGCTAAGGAAGGTGCTGATGAAGACGAATGGGTTGTTGCCAAAGATAAACCTGCCTATGATGAGATTTTCTACACTCTGTCACCAATCAATGGCAAAATATCTGGGATTAGTGCAAAGAAGGAGATGGTGACTTCTAAACTGCCCAACAGTGTCTTGGGGAAGATCTGGAAACTTTCAGACTGTGATGGTGATGGGATGTTGGATGATGAGGAGTTTGCATTAGCGAAACATCTCATCAAGATTAAACTGGATGGATATGAACTGCCTGGCACACTACCTTCCCACCTGGTGCCACCGTCTCACAGGAAACCTTTCCAGACAGCAGAGTGAAAAATAACAAGGAGAAGAACGAGAATTTTGGAACTTTTTCAACAAGCATGTTGAAACCACCAGAATTTGAAATTAGGCTTAGATCCTTAAAGCTCACAGCACATTTCATGCGAGTTACTGAAATTAGAGGCATGGTAGCAGGGAAACATTCGTGTAGCTGTCCCTGCTGACCTTCGCTCAGACATGCTTATCACAAGTGCCTTGTATAGATCAATTGTAAGGTGAAAATGTTTTTGTAGTCCTGCTTCCATGTCTTGCTGCCTTTACAACCATAAAGCAGAAAAGACCATGTATAAAAATCACTGACCCTCACCAAACCTAAATACTTACGGACCGTAAGTTTCTCCAAACTATTTTAAATAGCACAAGGAAGCTCTAAATGTTAAATTCACCTGCCTATGCAAGGAACATTGTTAAAAACATACTTTAGGCATCGAGTGAATGTCAGCATCTCTATAGTTTAAGAAAAGGCTGATATAAAAGGAAATTTTATTTTTGTTCTTTTTATTATTTAACAGGGGATTAGAAAAATGCTCAGAATATGAGCAGACCTTGTTTTAAAACTTTACTGATTATAGCTAGAACTGCAGAATATTAAAACAATTCTTTCAGTCTGTCATCATTGTCTTGTCTGAAGAACTGCTTCTTCAGTTTTATACAGCACTAGATACTCACTAGTATCACTAGAAGAGCTGAATCTCCTTTGTTGCTTGGATTTAGAGTTTCTTTTGAGGTTTCGGTTTAGCTGCTCTGCAGACAATAAATTCCCAAATTGTTCAAAGTGACAGCAGAATGTTTTCTTAAGCTAAAAAAAACCCCAAAACCAACAAACAAACCATGTTTCCATTGAAAGGAAGCCTCACTTCATGTTCAGAAGAGGTGCATTGTTCAAAGTCAGCCTCTTCAGAGCACATCAGATTGTCTTGGGAAACCTTCATTGGTATTCAGTTTCTATTTACAGGTAATTATACAGTTGTATCTGTATTTTTTTTGTATCTAATATTTTTAAGAAAAGTTTTTAACTCTTTCTTTTGCCAACATGTACCTGACAACCACAAAAGAGAGATTAGATTCCTATGGGTGGCAAATTTGAAAGCTGGGGAGGCTGACAGGAATCTTTACATTGACCATAATAAATGATAGACTAGTCCCTCCAGATATTATTCCTTTATTGAAAACAATCTATGAAAAGAATGGATGCTTAATAAACATTCATTTTTCTAACAACGCATTCAAACATATTGGCTGCTTACAACTGATTTTTTTCAGTACCTTTGAAGAACATGAATTTGTGGCCCTGTGAACTTGAGTCTTTCAGGGAGGGCCAGTTTTTTCTAAAATCAAATGTGGCAGTTCAGTTTTGCTCTATGCATGTGAGCAGGAATTGACTTGTATTCCATTTGTAGTATGAAATACGCTACGCATCAAAGGTACTGTAGTTCAGAGCACTTTTTCTTTGAGTCTCAGTAAGTGGTAGCAGTAGTGCCTTCTGAGACAAAGCAAGCCAAAAAAGTGTTTTATGATCCTTGCAGTCGGGGTCGGGAGGGAATTAGTTAGGGTATTGTCTCCCACCTAAGATTTTAGTCACACTTAGGTATACAGATTTGTAGGTGACCTAGGAGGAGCCTCAACTTCTTGTTCAAATTGTACATTTGTAGGTTGTCAGTCAGGTTTAGTACTTCACATCTTTCTGGACCTCTTATCTTTCTTCATCTGTCCTGTTCTGATGTGAAATTACCATGAACTTTGCCAGGGCTCTACCGTGGGAAAACCGGAAGCTATTTTAAGTAATGAGAGAAGAACACCTTGACCTTGCCAGGCTTCTGGGCCTGTATCAAGGATATCCTGGCATAGTTAAATTGTTCTTGAGGACTTGCTTTTTTTTTTTTTAATTCTTAGATTATTTTTTCTCTTATCATTCAAGCATACCAACTTACTTTATGTTAAACCTAAATTAGGAGCCAGATTAGCCTTAGTGCATCCCTGTGCTCTTTAGTAGAGCTGTGAAACTTGACCATGAGTCTACCTGTGTGAATGTACATCTGCAGAGTAACTGATTTTCTATGTAATTTATTTTTGATTGAACAAAAAGTAGTATATCGACATTGCAGCAGGTTTTTTTTAAAAAAACAGACTGCAGAAGTAGTCATGTATGTTTGTTTAGTGTTTGCAGTCAGTAACAAATGAATACACCAATGACCAACCTGATTAGCTCAGTAAGGAACAACACCAGGAGAAAGCAAGCAAACTTGTGTGTTGTGACTGCTATAAGGTGGGCAAAGCTGAGAGGATCTGGGAAGTTGCTGATCTTCTGACTCTTCTCTGCCTTGCCTTGCTCTTCAGCAGCACAGGGTTCCAGGGCTGGGCCCATGCTTGAGTTCCCACTGTGTGTAGCTTCCAGGGGTGATGCTCCAAATGTATTGGAGCCATGTGATCCCATGCCGGTAGAAATATCCTCCATCAGTGAGAGGAGCAGGACAGTTTCTAAATTATATTTTATTTTTCTAGCTTTATTGGTAGTAAAATGGAGAACACAGCCTTTTCTTCAGTCTCTGTGACACTGTGCTAACTTGACCTTAGGGGAGACAAATTGAAATGCATCATTTTGATAAGAAAATATTTTATCCGGATGGAATTGAAGTGTTTTGTGGTGTTTTCCTCTGGAATTTGGAAGGGGAATGCACAAAGCATGTATAGGAGTAGAGGTGGATTATCTCTGTTTATCTGGAGGAATAGAAGTGTTTCAGGATCAGTATGCAGAGCTACATACGTAAATGTATTTCTAGACATGTGGTGCAGGGCATTGTATTTAGTTGATAGGAATAAAGTACATTTCATGTGGACTAAACTGATACAGTAGGTTGCTGTTGCTCAGGGGAAGGGATCTCTTTTCTCACTACCTCCTCATGTACCCATGGATCTACTCCATTTGCCTTGCTGGCTTTCTGGTTTGTCAGACCTTGCAAGCCCGTTCAGTTAGTTAAACCAGCCACACGCAATGATTTGGATAATGCTCTGTGGAGTTAGCGAGTCCATGTGTTAGGAGCATGAGAAGTGAGCAAGATTGCCTTCTCTCATGAAATTGTGCTCTAAGTAGTTACTGGGAACAGCAGTATGAGATAACTTCTGGTGTTCAGTTTGATGTTACTTAATATCTGCTGAGGAAAGACTAAGATATTGGATTTGCTGGCCATTTTATGCCTAGGATTTTGATGACATTTGCTGTGAGACCATTCAAAACTGTCAGTAATTCATCCTGTGAAATCAGTGCCCACTGGCATAGTCTGCTGCCATAACCAAAGTAGAGACCACTGCTTTTACATCTTCTCCAACTATTCTGCAACACAGTTTTAATTCCCAACCCTAGTTCTGTTCCCAGAAATTAATTAGAATTTTACTGTAGATTGGAACAGAAAATGTGAAGCTACTATTCATAACCACGCTACAGGACAGTGAGAGCCTTTTTAAGCTGTGATAACTTGAAAATCGTGAGTTTACAAAGATTTTTTTAGGTCAGGGTGAGGTCCCAGTTGTTAGCTGGGGGTGGTATGGATTTGTGTGGAACCTGGTCTCAAGGCAGCAATATCCAATCCCTGACTTTGAACAACATTGTTCATCCCCCAGTACTTGAAATGTGCCCTCTTCTTTTTCTTCTCACTTCCTTCCCTTCACAATGTGCACTCACATTGGTGGCTCTTAATGTTGTTGGAATTCAAGCAGAGTTTGAAGTGTATGGTTTGATGGGTATGTGTAACTTAGCACTGAGAGAATGAACATGAACTTTGTTTTCTACTTCACGTGCTCACCTTTTCTAATATTTTTATTAAATACTGTGTTTTCACTTCAAAAGCATTCTAATTTTTGAGGGAAGCCTTGATCTGTGCAGTGTGCTTCAGTTTGCCCAACTAGGCAAACAACGTTATAAGTTCATTATTGTTGCACTTTTATTACACAATAAATTCCTTGCAGATACTGTAATATATTTTAATATGCTTTGTAATCATTTTTAGAAAGTGGTGATAAAAATTGCTGATTTAATAAACTAATATTGAACTACCTGAGATTCTTTTGTAAGCTGCTTTCTGGAAGGTAATCTTTCAGTAACTAGAATTTTGTTACTTGTTTTTTGTCACTGGTTTTTTTGCTACTTAAGGCTCATAGGCGTAGTAGCTATTTGGCAAGCTGCTTATTTTCGCATCTCAGTTTATGTATCCATAATAGGTTATAGCTATTTCTTTTCTGTGTCCTTGAACTTGTTGCTGAAGTTACTGCCTATGCCAAGGCTTGACTCAAGACTTAAATTTATATTTAAAAAGGAAAAAAACCAACCCTTCAGCACCTCTCCGTAATTAGCTTTTTATAGCAGAATGTAATTTTTGAGTTTCTTAATGTCTGAGCATGGAAGTTTCTTAAAGTCCAAGTGTGGAAGATAAATCAAAAACTTCCTGTATGGATTGAAAACTTGAAACTTGAGCTGAGAGGCACTTCTTTTAACTTCAGTGGGGGTACTAACCTTGAAAAAATAAGGTTAGATTAAATAGTTGAGCAAAAAGTACTTTGTTGATATGTTTTTCCCAAAAAATGCAAAGGCTTCTTCCATGCTGTGCTACACACTACTTCAAAATAACCAGTTATATCAATAGAACATTCATTTTAATGTTGTGCTTAAATTCATTCCCCCTGCCCCTCTCCTTCTCCTGTGTACACACAACTTGAATCATCTCCAAAGATGCATCTGTGCCACCAGGATGCTATGGTTTAGCTATTGCTCCTATTGAGGTCAAATCTAAGCTGCTGCAGAATTAAAAGGGTTTTGTATGTAGCAGTGTTAGCAAGCAAGGCTGTTATGCTCGTGGTCATGCCGTATGTCACATGAGAGCAAGTGTTTCACGTACAAACAATATGTTGTGGGTTCCTGGAGGCCGCATTGCTGTTGTATTGCAGTGGCTTGTTTGAACTGTTCCTTGTACAAGTCAGAAATAGTTTGGAGAAGATGAGGT